GTGGTGGTGGTGGTGGTGGTGATGGTGGTGATAATAGTGATTGTGATGGGGATGATGGTGGTGGATGGTGGTGTTTGCGTGTGCAGGCACGCATCACATGTGTGTCAGTGTGTATCCGGGGAAAATGGGTTGCCTAAACAAATGAGATTACTTGGTGAAAAAGAAAGAGCTAGATGCAATTATTTGCTTAGAGAACACGGTGTCAGAAAAGGAACATGTTTGAGCACAAACACACACTGACACACACGCACACCTGCCATGCACGACTCACATTCGTGTGGCTGAGGTGTGGAGGGAGAAGTAGGGGTCGTCCAGCCCCAAGTGCCCCCCTCCAAAGGTCCTGCAACACAACTTTCAATGCTTAGCTCTTCCTGGAGATCAAGGTATTTCCTCTTGTCTATCTATTTCTTTGTCCATGTGTCCATACAAGTGTGTAGTGCATGTAGTCAAACTCTTGTTAGTCCCAGTTTTTCACCCTCTTCCTTCACTAGGTTAATTATGCTTTAGATGTCATACCACTTAATTACTCCCTTAATCAAGTGTTATAAATTTAATGAATCACAGACCCTAGTAGCTTCCATAAATCTGTACTTCAGTGCTTGTATGTTCTTATCTTACTTTATTCTTAAATTAGGAATTTTTAATTTAAATGTACAAATAATTTGTACCTTATAATAAGCCTAAATATACCTAAAAAATTATGGAAAGAAATATACTTTCTTCAGCAAGAAAATTCTAAAATACACATCTGTAGCACTTCATTAGTATAAACTACTAGAATTGCTGCTAGCATTGTCACAGCCATCTTTCCAAGCAATTCAAGTACTAAACAATGGTCTAAAATAATCAACAATGGTCTCATTACGACCCAAACCTAGACAAGTTTTGACCTATATTATAGATTTATATATATAAACACAAACTACACAAATGTACACACATACATTCATATAAGCAAGTGAATTAGGAGGTAGAGGTAGAGGTAGAGGTAGAGGGGAGAGGGGAGAGGGAGAGGAGAGAGGGAGAGAGAGAGGGAGAGAGAGAGGGAGAGAGAGAGAGGTGTATAACTTCGTATAATGTATGCTATACGAAGTTATTACGTACACACATACATTCATATAAGCAAGTGAATTAGGAGGTAGAGTTAGAGGTAGAGGTAGAGGGGAGAGGGGAGAGGGAGAGGAGAGAGGGAGAGAGAGAGGGAGAGAGAGAGAGGTGTATAACTTCGTATAATGTATGCTATACGAAGTTATTACGCAAGTGAATTAGGAGGTAGAGGTAGAGGTAGAGGGAGAGGGAGAGGGGAGAGGGAGAGAGGGAGAGAGGGAGAGAGAGAGAGAGAGAGGAGAGAGATGAGAGAAGGGAGGGGAGAGGGAGAGGGAGAGGGAGAGAGGAGAGAATATGACTGAACGACTGAATGAGTGTATATACTAAAATTTGAAAATCACTAATTTTAAATACTCTTCTCTTAAGAAGGGTTTTATGGCAGACCTTCAAAAATCTATAAAACTTAGTAAAGTATAAGGTCATGATATATTCTTTACTTTCATATCAAATGTCACAAGTGTATGTTTGCATGGGAATGAAAAAGTTGGACAGGAGGAATAACACCAGAGGTATGCAGATTTTAAAATTTTCCAGAGACTTGATCTACTGCCATGCCTTTAAGAATATGATGAAAGCTGGGTATCAATCAAGAATAATATTTGCAATTAGTCCCCTAAAATTAATAAACGGTATGAAGGAAATGGTTGAGGTACAACAACTATTATACCTCAAACGACAGCTCAATACCAACTGGTCTTGACTACATGAAAGAGTATGAACAGAAATATTTTTAAGTGTTTTTTTCACAAAATAAAGGGAAAAAATACAGTAATCATTAGCAAATACAAATGAATCAACACATAATGATCAGTAGTAGTAATCATTAATATATGAAAATAATAACAAGCCAATTAATAATGACTTATAAATCATTTCACTAAATTTTGGAAGCTTTCACAAGTTGTGGAATTGTGCATATGTTCTTCCGTGTTCTCTTGAGCTAATTTGTACATTTGTCTATTCATTTAATTTACAAGTGTACATGTATGAGTGAAAAATGCATGAGCATGAGCATACACTTAGGTATGCACTTGTGGGCATGCAAACTTAGATGCAAAGTTTTATAGTATACATATTGCTGACATCCATGTGAACACAAGCATTTCTTTTCTCCTTGCAAGAACCAACTCACAATTCACTTGCTTCTGTATCTTGCTACTATAAACTAGACTCTTACCAAAGCTGCCATACTGCTGCCCGCCTGGAGATCCATAATTGGGAGCACCCCACTGCTGCAGCTGTTGGCCAGCACCCCAGCCCTGATAGCCCTGTGGTCCTTGTGGAGCACCATATCCTTGAGGAGGGTAACCCTGCTGTTGAGGGGGTGTTCCCCACCCCTGATGGTAGGGCCCCTGAACCATGCCTTGAGTACCCATGTGGCCTCCCATTTGACTGTTGTGCGGTCCAAGGGGAGGGCCCAGTGGTGGACCCATGTTTCCAGGTCCCATGCCCTGGAAGATTTTTTTTTCTTTTAAATATATATCCAGCATCATTCAACACAAACATTTTGTGCATGTATATAGATGTTCACACAAATACAACAGAATATCTAGTATATATACACAACTTTGTCAATACATTTGTGAATAAAATTCAATCTATTACATAACATTCAAAACTTTAAAAAGATAAAAAAAATTAAAATAAAATTGACAGGATGAAATATATAGATACAGGCTAAATTTGAGTAGAAAGAGTAGAAGATGCAACTGAGTCTAGGTCTACTTACATTGTTGAGGCCAGGTATGCCAGGTGGGCCAACTGGCATGCCCCACTGATTGTCGGGTGGTGTGCCCCACTGACCACTCTCCTCCTGTGCCTTGCTGGCATCACGGGGCTCTGCTTTCTTAATTTCAACCTTCAGTTATTGGGAATAAATGATTAACTGTAGCAATGGTACGAAGAAGCACTTTGGTTGGCTCATAAGTACATGAGGGATGAATTGTATTAAAACTATAAATTTAATAATTGATTATAATTCAAGTATACAATTCATCCTCATTCTTGAATTCTAATGCATACTAAAAATATTTGCTATAAACAATTCAAACTTACCTCTTGGTTTCTTAAAATTACTGAACATCTCCCTAACATAATATAAAGGTCACAAACACCAACATGAGGGAAAACACAAGAGTGCACAGCCTCTCTATTTATAAGCTGAACCATGCAACTTGCTCAACATGTGGAAGTGCAACTTTCCATAATTTATGAGACTAATATATTCTTTACCTAAAATGATACTTTTATTTTCATTACTTGAACCCTTTCCATGTGTTGCACTTACACAATGCCACAAATACAGTTGCCTTCTCTGTGGTTCATTGACATTACTGATTTTACACAATCCAAATTCTATAGGCCCTTCTGATAATGTAATTGATAATGTCAAAGATAGTTGTCCTCAAACAAAATGTCATTGGACATCTGAGATTAGTTATTTCAAACCAATTCAGCCATCTGGCAAAACTGAACGGAGCCTCTCAAAAATAATTACAATAAAAAAACAAAGAAAAGGCAACTTCATAAAGTCATTAGAACAAATACTTAAGACTAATACCTGCTTTCCATTAATGTTGACAAAGTGCTCTGCCACCGCTCTATCCACAGCTTCTTCCGTTTCGAAGGACAAAAATCCAAAGCCTAGTGTAGTGACAACCAAACAGAAAAACATCTTAGCTTAGTGAGGAGAGATATGGACCTACCTATTGTGCACTATCTATAGTGATGGATGCAGTTATGCTACACTTATTGTCAACACACAAGGTCTCCCACCCTCATTCCTTAACTCATTCACATGGCTCGGTGTAGGTCAAGAAAGAGGCACAACTATTGTGCAACTACCTACATGAAGGAACAAAACATCCAGTCAACAAAGACAAGTACCAATCAAATTCTAAGAACTATTACTGAATAAAATATCCATTTAATTCATTCTTATTTATTCTATAATAAACAAAATAATAGCGATTGGTGACCTCTCGGTTACATACATATATATTTGTGCAATAAACTTTTCATATGACCATCTCATATTTTGTACATATAAATTACCTGTATATTTTTTCCTCTGTTAACTGGCATGTTTTTTTCTCTTGCTTTTAATGACCTGTCTCATATGAACATACTCCTTTCAAATTCTCCTCCTCCTTATATACCTAAACCTTTAAACATGTAAAAATCTAATACAAATTTTGTTAACATTTCTTCAATCAAAATCAAGAATTTACTTATAAATACCAGATATTACAAAGACTTTCACAGCATCTTGAAGGATACATATGGAGAGCAAGTATGTAGTTTGTTGATCAGAGTAAAATTAAAACTAATGATTAAATTCAAAAATGTTGGCAATGAAAAGGTCTGTTCAGGTGAGAACTTCATCACTGTTCACCCACCCTAAACAAGATATATGAGCTAATGGGGCTGATGGGCCTGTCTTACTTCAACAGTTAAAAAGGCTTCAGCTTTATCACTTTTAAACAAATTATTCAACAATAGCTTCTACTGGCTTGACTCCTACAAACAGGCACATATATAAATACATTACAGATACAGTGAGCCTCTTATACAAGTATAGGGTTGTTGCTTTACAGTTATCACCTCAATCCACAAACAAGATATTTTAAAAGAAATTCATTTAAAAATTTAGTTATTCCTTTTTACCATGTAACTCGTTTGAGTGACTGTATACAAAAATCTTGTAAATAAATAAATAATAAATGAAAATAGAAAGTAAATAATATACATTTCATGAGGTCTTCTGTGAGCATTGCTATGTATTCCCTTTTAGTAAGGTAGGTAGGTAGGTAGGTAGGTAGGTAGGTAGGTAGGTAGGTAGGTAGGTAGGTAGGTAGGTAGGTAGGTAGGTAGGTAGGTAGGTAGGTAGGTAGGTAGGTAGGTAGGTAGGTAGGTAGGGTAGGTAGGTGTAGGTAGGTAGGTAGGTAGGTGGTGTAGGTGTAGGCGTGTGTGTAGGCGTGTGTGTAGGCGTGTGTGTAGGCGTGTGTGTAGGCGTGTGTGTAGGTGTGTGTATAGGCGTGAGTGTGTGTGTGTGTGTGTGTGTGTGTGTGTGTGTGTGTGTGTGTGTGTGTGTGTGTGTGTGTGTGTGTGTGTGTGTGTGTGTGTGTGTGTGTACCTGTAAAATCCTCTAAAGGGGGTCACAAATCTCAACTGCCAGGGACTTTCAATTACACATAACTTGTTGCCTCTTAAGTGGCATGGAGTTAATATCATGTATTAATTGGTTATTTGTGTGAAGTAATGTCATGGTAAGCATGAATGTTAACTGCTGAGTACGCATGTCTAGACCCAGCACATTACCCATGCATAGTTCAGTCTCAATAACATGGTCTGGGGTGTATAGAAGCTTGTTAAAATTACATTTCTTTGTATTGTTTTTGTTCTGGTTGTCTTAACATACAACTGGTACAAATGGCTAATTAAAGTCAGACAGGCAAAGTTTTAAGTGCCTCAGAATGAATGCCAGAAGATAACAAAATTAGCCACAGGGAACAGGTTAAGAAGATAGTAACCTGCTTGGTATTCACCGGCTTTTCATTAAATCTTCTACACCAGAGTATGTTACAAATCATTTTCATAGGAAAAGACCTGTTCGACAATAATCTACTTCCGCACTGACAAACTAGTACAAGGAAGTAAAAATTCTTTATAAAAATGACTTTTTCTGCATCTTTGGATCTACTACTACTATAACCACCACACTTGCTCACTCTTGTTCTCACCCACTCTTTCTCTAGTCAAATGTCTAATAACCCTCTACATTTTCCAATCAACTGCCTCCTCATTAACACCCACAGTGGCTAGGTCATCCTCTACACATGCCGACGCCTTCTTTGGCTTAATGAAAGGTATATGCCATGTATATTCAGTAAAGAAAATAAGCAAGCTGATAAAACTAAATCAATATTTTGCATTATCATAGAGGATAAATGTAAGGCTGTCATGGTTACATATTTTTCTTTTTCTTGCACTGAGTAATGGACTACTTAAAGGGACACTAACGTCTGTGCAAGTAAAACGGTATATTAACCTCTCAAAAAAGCTAATCAAATGACAAACACGAACACTGAAAAATGGCCAAAAAGCTGAAAAAAGTTATTCCATTATAAGAGAAAATGACATTGAAAAGGGGAGGCACTAAGTCTTGATACTGCGCACAGGTTTTCCATGTGCCCAGCCTACAAGAGCATCCATGAGAGTGGTTGCTCATTTATGCCCAATGCCAACTGATTGCTGTGAAGCAACCTGGTCCAGGGGGTTAAGGGAACCATTCCAACCGAGGCCTACCTTATATAATTGCGCTTCATCTCATTAAAAGAACTTATTTAATCAACCCTTCTTGTCTATTATCGCTATGAGGACATAATGTATGATTGGTATTCGTGTCATTCACTCTAGCAAGCGAGTGGGGGAGGAAAAGCTGTACTTAGTACATGTTCTGCCATAAAGACTAGACTGTTGAACAATGATTACATTACACAAAATTCTGGCCCTATCATGATAGGGTTAATGTGCTTTGCGATGAGATTATTACCGTTAATTAGTTATTGTTTTCAATATGGACCATATTTTGTAACAATAACTTTTTAGATGTCAGAGTAAATATTTGTCTGCAACATTTAATAAAAACATTAAATCATAGAAAAAAATAATCTAAAGCAGAAAAGGCACTTTTCCCCCTTTTTATCCGATTATGAAGGAATGAAAAACTAGGGATAGCAATATCAGTACAAAATTTTTAAATTTCTATAATCCTTGCATGAATACAAAATAGTGGTTCAACTTCAAGAGTCCTAAACGCACATGAATAAAATAAATGAAGAGCAAGAATTACCTAAGCTATTGAATTTTACCTACGCATAGCGACTAATCCCTGCAGAAGTCACCAGGGAAGGGGCTTAACCCACTAAAGATGGGTGTCCCACACATGAGACACCCAAAAAAAAACATGTCGGGTGTTCCGCCGGTGTGACACTGTATCAGGGCTCGCGCTCCGATGCAGCAGCCGCCCAGCATCTTTTATTTTCAGCTTCAAAATATACAAGCGTTAATGGGTTAAGTTTGTTAGTGTGGGGCTCCCTGCACCCTTCCTTGGGGAATGAAATGCTGGGATAGCTCCAGCATTTTAATAATACAGCCATATGTGTCATCCACACGTGAGAGAAGGTACCATTGTGTTATTATATTGTTGCTGTGCAAAGGCCTAGAAGTATATAAAAGACCAAATCACAATGGTGCCAGTAGAAGCTCTGTCATAAACAAAGGATAATAATATCAACCACAGAAAAAAAAAGCACTATAATAACAAAAATGATGAGGTAAACAAGCCATGGAGAGACAATACCCATTAAACTGACCTAATCATGTCACCATACTAGTGACACATTTCTCTAACACAAAGATTCGTCTTAACTTTCTTAAAGAAAAGTGTAAATTACATTCTTATGAGCCACATCAACACTTATAAAGTAGAGGATGCCTTATACCAAATTAGTAATATTGCATCAAGTTTTATAATAAATACATGCAGCAGTCATACAGTTATGCCACACAAGATATCTAAACAATAAATCTTATAATAATCATAATATAACTGCAATATGATATGGACTTCACTACCTCTCCCTAACTGTGCAATCATGTCACAAATAAATTGAGACATTAGTCTACACAGCAAGTGAAAACATTTCAAAATTCATTAATATATGAGAGAGAGAGAGAGAGAGAGAGAGAGAGAGAGAGAGAGAAGAGAGAGAGAGAGAGAGAGAGAGAGAGAGAGAGAGAAGAGAGAGAGAGAGAGTGTGTGTGTGTGTGTGTGTGTGTGTGTGTGTGTGTGTGTGTTGTGTGTGTGTGTGTGTGTGGTGTGTGTGAGTGTGATAGTGTGTGAGTGTGATAGTGTGTGTGAGTGTGATAGTGTGTGTGAGTGTGATAGTGTGTGTGAGTGTGATAGTGTGTGTGAGTGTGATAGTGTGTGAGTGTGATAGTGTGTGTTTCAGATACGAAATTTCAATACCAGATTACTTTAACAAGTTGAACAAAAAGTCTCTATTCAATATAGCTGACTTTATCAACAATATCGAAATGTAAAGTTATCGCATCACAATAGACAAAGGTGTAAATTAAGGAACTTATGGGTAGGTAGCAAGAGAACATGGGGAAAAAAAATAAATAAAAAATAAAATAAAAAATAAAAAATAAATCAAGGGTGAAAATAGGGCATTTATTTAAGATTTTTTTTTTTTCTTATCTGTTTGTCCTCTTTTATTTTTGCACTACTAAAACATTGAAATAAATGTAACTTCTTATCCAAGAAATGAAATGAAGAAAAACGTGAAAAAACCTGAAGAATACAAATCATTGTTTCATATAATATAGTTCTAAATATGCTAATTAAAGACTGAGAATAAAAGAAAAGCTCACCTCTTGATTTCTTCTTCTCCTGGTCAAACATTATGACGACCTCCATTACAGCACCATAGCGCGAGAAGAAATTGCGGAGGTCTGTCTCTGTAAGATTGGAGGGTAACCCTCCAAGAAACACCTTGGGCCAATTTCCATTTTTCTTCTGCTTTTGCATGCTGCGAGGATTGCAAGCTTTGGGATCAATCTGAAAAAAATCAAATTACAATGATAATTGCAATAAGTTATGATATTCCACCGGTAAATACCTTCCTTCAGCAACACTAAAAGATTAATACAACTTTAATCCAGATTTTCTATTACATCAACCTATTTTCTGATCTCTATATAGATACACAAGTTAATGTTCTTAACAAACCGAAGCTATTTCCTTCTCTATTTTAGTCAAGATAAACAATATCAAGAAAAGAGTTGGAGAGGTAAGGTCATGCCAACTAAGAAAATGTTTCACTTACGGTACGCCCATCCAGCTCATGAGGACCACTTTTCAGTACAACATCCACCTTGTTGGGGTCTGCAAATGTCACAAAGCCAAAACCCCTTGACCTTCCCGTCTCACTGTTCTTCATCACCACACAGTCAATAACTTCTCCATACTGACCAAAGTAACGCTGCAAGGACTCCTGAGTTGTTTCCCAGGACAGGCCACCAACAAACATTTTTCTGGAAATAAATAAGTAGCTTTAGAATATCTGCACCTAACATTTCCTCAAAAAAACGCTGATCATGAAAGTACACACACAAACACACACACACACAAAAAAAACAAGAACAACATGGGATTACTAGCACAAAAAAGACTTTCACTGAAGCTGCCCAGGAATTAGCAGCAGTGCCCAACCCTCAGGAAATTTGATGCTAAATCTTGGTCTCAAATTCAGTTTCAAAATCTCATAGAATAAATAAATAAAACTAAACCAGACTGTAAAAAGTATGCATAACAAAAGCAATAGTAAGTAATAAATCAAGATTACTGAAAAAATCAACTTTCACATATTGATAACAAGAAGTTCCTTTGTTGCAAAACAAAGATGTTTTCTTGTATGTAAGCCGAGAGAGAGAGAGAGAGAGAGAGAGAGAGAGAGAGAGAGAGAGAGAGAGAAGAGAGAGAGAGAGAGAGAGAGAGAGAGAGAGAGAGAGAGAAGAGAGAGAGAGAGAGAGAGAGAGAGAGAGAGAGAGAGAGAGAGAGAGAGAGAGAGAAGAGAGAGAGAGAGAGAATATGAGAGAGAGAGAGAGAATATGAGAGAGAGAGAGAGAGAGAATATGAGAGAGTTTTAAGAAGCTGAGCAAAATAACCTAATGTATGATCAATGAATAATCTTTCCCTTAAATGTAATGATGAATACAATTCTCACTCCTCAGAATATCTGAAATATATCCTCTTATTGACAGGTACTTCTATAGCCATCATGAGGCAATGACTTCCTTATGACATGTAAACGTGTCATAACTCGCTCTCGTGAGCAAGTGGGTGGGTCGGCTGTACAGAGCATATGCCCTACCAGAGAGGGTAAACGGTTACATAATGATTACGTCACAGAAAATTCTAGCATCATCAATACAGGATATAAAATAATATGATGATGATGATGATGATAAGTAATAATCAATAATAACCGTAATAAAAAATAATGGTCAATAATAATTAATGATAATTAATAATGTTGATAATCAAAAATTAATAATAATAATAAAACAATAATAAAATGTCCTGCATAACAAAATAATCAGAGGATATTTTCTTAGGGTAAGGGGAATATAAATACATGTGGGGGGGGGGGGGGGGGAAGGGGGAAGAAGAAAAAGAAGAAAAGATACGAGTGAAGGTCTAGATTAGTGAATTCCAAGCCAGAGTGACTTTTGTTAATCCTCTTTGCACAAAAAAATCTTTTGAAGATGACACTTTTTCTACATTCATTATTTAACCCGAAATTTAGCAAGTCAAAATGCTTACAAAAAAGTTCAGCCCAACAGCATTGACCAACAGATAAACAAATATATATATATACACTTATACATACATACATACATATATGATTTATATATATATATATTTTTTTTTAACAAAACAATACCAAAACCATGGTAATGACACATTAATTCACGGCAATTATCATAACATTAAGAGTATCAATATTAATACCTACATAACACAGCAATCTTTACACTGTAACAGTAACAGTAATAATGATCATATCAACTATTCATAATCTATTTCTAATTAATTTAAAAGTAATGATAGCGCTGATAAATGATTATGATGATAGATCATCAACAAAGACATGTCTAAGCAGTCATCGCAATTATAGTAAACTGCATTTGGCGCCTCTCTATGTAACTTGGGCTATGCTCGCAACTCGTGCTTCCCTAATCACTATCAAGCCTTCATGGTTTCATCCCCATCAGGGGCAGGTGGGGGGGATTAATTAATTTTCTTCCAGGTGTTGGTTGAATCTATTCTGTTGTGACTGTTTTACATTTTCAGCAAAAAATACTATCATCTTCAATCTTCTGGTGCTCAAAGCTTTCTAAAGTCATGCCAAATGAAATACAATTGACCAATTGATACCAGACAGATAACAGCACATACAGGGACTGCACCACAATAACAAAGAGACCTAGTATATATAGTAGCAATGAACAGCTCTTGATGACAGATAGCAAACAGTTCAAATATTATTCAATTTTTCAAGAAATAGTTTGTGAATTATACATTACCATGAATGAATCACAAAGCAAGAGATCATTATGATAAAAGGCGAAATGGTGAAAAAATATAAAATCCTCAAATTTCAAGGACTGAGCATATCAACTAAAGTATAGTATTTGAAAATATCACAAGACATCATGTAAATGTGTACACTCAATACAATTACAATGCACAATATACATGTCCTCATGTTGAATGCCATAGCCTACAGATTGACTGGGAACCTATGCTACTTATAACTTATTCACTGAACTGAAAGCAAAACCACAATGTTTACAGGACCCCCATAAAGGTAAACCCACTGTCAAGCCTGACGGACTTCAAAACCCATGAACCAGTCTAAAGTTCTCCCCAT